TAAATCCCAACATGTAGTCATGTGAACGGTTTAGTCCTCTATTTTTTCTCATAAACCCAAAAGTCTCATTAAAGTAGAAATTACATAAAAAGGTAATCACTTACATGTTTGAGTTTAATTTTGTGGGATAAAAGTAATTTTCTCAAAAATGTAAAATTACACATTTGGGCAATTTGAACTATAGAAGTTTTGGATTTTTCCTCATTCTAGAATAAATCTCACATTATGAACGAAAATCTAACACTCTAATGTAATACTTCAATGTAACACATTAAAAAACTCATTGGTGTACTTTTTCCAAACGTAACAATGTAACACTTAAAACAAAATTCTTTGGTGTATTTTTCCCAAACATAACGCTCCAATGTAAAAATATATATATATATATATATAATTCTTAATGTACTTTTCTCAAACGTAAAACTTCAATCAGTATAATCCCAAACATAACGCTCCAATGTAAATGTAACACACAAAAACACTAAAAAATCCCCTTAAGTGTACTTTTTTTTTTTTCAAATGTAATACTCATAGTTTGAAATTATACACTTGTTCAAAACTTACTAAGGAATATGTGTACTCCTTTTAGAATGGTTTGAAGAATTCCACATTCTTTTTTTCTTTTCTTTTTGTTTGTTATATTGGAGTGTTATGTTTAGAAAAAATACACTAAGAAATTTTTTTTTTTTTTGGTTACATTGGAGCATTACGTTTGGGAAAAATACACTAAAATTTTTTTTTGTATGTTATATTAAAGTGTTACACTAAGGAATTTTTTTGAAGTGTTACGTTTTAAAAGGTACACTGATGAGTTTTTTTGTGTGCTATATTAGAATGTTACACTAAAGAGTTTTTATGTGTTATATTAGAGTGTTATACTAAGATTTTTTTAAAGTATTATATTAGAATGTTACATTTGGAAAAAGTACATCAAGAAGTTTTTTTTGTATGTTACATTAGAGTGTTACACTAAGGAGTTTTTGTGTGTGTTACATTAAGGAGTTTTGTTGTGTATTATATTAGAGTGTTATGTTTGGAAAAAATACACTAAAGAGTTTTTTTGTGTGTTACATTAGAGTGTTACAATTAGAAATTTTTTTGTGTGTTACTTTAAAGTGTTACACTAAAGAGTTTTTTTGGAGTTTTATATTGAGATATTACGTTTGGAAAAACTATAGTAAGGAGTTTTTTTATGTGTTACATTAGTATTACGTTTGGATGTTAATTAATGTCAACGTTATAATGTCAATGTTACAATAGGGACGAACACCACAAAAAGGAACGAACACCACACCAAAAACACCACAAACAGAGTAGCATCATCCACCTACAAATCACTTCACAAAATCTCCACACAAAAAATAGAAATGTAAAAACCTACCTTACCCACGCACACCCAACATTAGGAAAAAAATTCAAACAAAATCACACACAAGGGCAAACAAGTAAACTTTCGAACCCCAAATCAAGAAAATATAACATACGCAAAATAAAAAGGACTAATTGATTTGAAAGATAACTTCTAGGATTAGATGGAATAACTTTTCTCCAAATGAGATTTATGAGTAATTTTTTCAAATTAATATTATTATAAAAAAAAAAAAGAATTGAATTGATTTTTGAATAATAATTTGAGTTGGAAAATGGAATTTCTTCTTAAAAACATTTTTTTTTTTGTGTTACTTTTCTATCCTAAATTAATTAAAATTGAATGGATTTTTTTTTTTTTTAAGGTTACTTATATATAATTGGTATAACCTATATTCTTAAATAAATAAAATAAAATCCCAATAAATATGTTGTTGACCTAACGCCAGACAAAATTCTAGATTCATCCCTGAAGACATGTATTGTGTTAGACATGTTAAACCAAACCAAATCAAGCCTTAAATCCCATTAAATGGAGTCGGCTATGTATCGTGTTAGACAATAACCAATATTCAATAGTAATGAGAAACACACCAACCAAAGCACAAATTTAAGGGTAAAATCTATCAATATTGAAATATATATAATACTGTAACTTGAACTGTCCATATATATGCGTATATTATATAATGTCTTGTTAACATATGTTCATAGGGTACATGTTAAGATAACTTTACAAGATTGTACGTTTTTTATACACGCACTTTCATGTATAATGTACAATCTAGTTAAGCTCACATGTTAACAAAACTCTATTTTATGTAATATAATGTATATATTATAACAAACTAGGCAAATCTTCGCCATTGGCTAACTATGGCATTAGGTATAGTATGCTCAACCATAGTTTTATATCGACAATGCTTAGATTAATTGATTGACAAATTTAGAACTTCTCTAATGATTTTGTATTTCCACAATGTCAATCTATACTTTGTCATTCTATAAAATTCAAAATGCTATAATTTGATTTAAAATTCAACTGTGCCATTTGTTATCGATCCAAAGTAAAATAATAAAAAAAAAATATTACGTTTTTAGCTCAAAATGACAAAGAAAGAAAAAGAGTGACAAAAAGAAAAAAGTAAAATCTTTGAGTTTCATCATGGATTGAAGTAACACTTGGACCAATGAGTAATATAATATAGAAATGACTAAGGCATCACAAGGAACTAACACTTGCGTTTTTTTTAACCACATGTCATATCGTTTATTTTTAAGTTCTTATATCAGGTCTCAAAATACAATCTTCATAGTAAAAACAAACAACATAAAGTCGATCCCCCTCATACTTTGTGTCATCTGAACCTCTTGTACTTCAAACATTGTTGGTATGGCTCATTGTGCCAATTGGTTAATTGTTGCTAGTGCATTACTAATGAGTTTCTTAGCATTAGTGACCTGTCCTTGTACGGAGCCCTTAATTTTTCTATCGAGAGCTTTGCCCGACAATCCTTCCTCACAATCATTTATTTCAGTTAAGGCAGTACTAGTCCAAGTTTGCACATTGCCCCGGTGAAAAACAAACTTGTCACCCTTGACTTGGCCCAAGAACTTAATTTCTCGTACTGATTGGCTAAGTTTGTCCACACTTTCTTCAACATGACCCAAGCAATCCTTCAACACTTTGGAATCTGTGGCCTTGAGTCCCTTAAGGGTTTTTAGCTTCAATATATTTGCTTTTATGGATCCAGCCGTTGCTAAGCTCGTCGTCAACGCAGTGCGAGCCTTAACAATATTTGCCAGGGCTGCGGATTCACCTGTACCAGAAATGTACAAGACATAGAGGGCCAAGAGAAGCAATTGAAGGGTAGGTCTTGCCATGTTTTAGAACAGTGGGGATTTGTTAATAGAGGAGGATGGTTTAGAACAGAATGAATTTGTTAAATGAGGAGGATGAGGGTTAAGAGGTCTCTATGGCAACATTTTATAGAGCATGCCTTGGTTTATTTTTGTTCTAATGTAAGTTGCGGATCACCCTTGGTGAATACCATGTCACCAATTTGACCATGTACCATACCAATTTTGGCATTTACTTTATTTAGAGTATAGATGCACAAAATAGGCATTCGACTCTAACTGTAGTCATATTTTGTTCAAAGTTTCTAAAATTGATAAATGATATTATGTACACAATATCAGACTTGATAATTGCGTCAACTCATACAAACCAGTCATATTTGTTGTGTAAATCCACGTATAATTTGAAAAACTTAATGAAACTCATCTGGTGATGCATAACAACTTTCTTAATATAATGCAACCTCATGTTTCTGTAATGATAACTTCTTATACTTGCGATGTAGATTCCGTTATGAAAAAATTAACTAGCCTTACAATATCATTGTTAATAAGAATCTTAAAAGCATATTGTAAACTCTGTTGATAGTATCTTACAAAGATTTTGTTTTTAAACCCTCATTTACATAGCACATCATTAACCTATTCATTTTCTTTACATGCACATTGCATGTGCTTTCTGCAACCAATAAAAAACAATATTACATGATTTTGCCGATTCTTTCTGCAACTCTCGGTTGCCTCCAATGGACACAACCTGATTTAGCTAGCCTGAGTGCACCATCATGGAGTAGAATTCTTTTGCGTCAGATTATCAGTGTCGGGAAAAATGCCGGGAATAAGATTTTTGTTGACATATTATAATGCCCCTCAAAAACTGTCATTTGCATAAGCATTGTCCCCATGGAGATAAACTACACGCAATTGATGGCTATTCGCCATGACTAACTCCCCATCTCAAATAGCTAGTCCTAAACATTTGACCATTCAAGATAGTAGTTGAACCCTCACAAATAATTTATCAAACTATGTTGTTTTGTCTAGGTTTTGAACTCTACACATACAAACCATAACTCATAACATCATATTAAATTATGTGCGTTTCTTTGACATCTACCTTCTTCCTATCGTGCTCTTGCTCTCTATTGTGCCACCATGAACGAGCCTCCAGAGGCACTATGCTCATCTTTCCATTGGCAAGAGGTCTCTCTTTCACTCTCCAGTTCCCTCTCTATTCCCTCCCCCTTTACTTTCATGCTCTCCATTTAGACACCGGAGAAGGTCAAGTCCTGGGCAATGGACTGTGGCGCTTTGATGGCGCACTTTGCACTAGCACAAATGCACCAGCGCAAGGCACCATGAAGGTGCTTTTTCTTGTTTGCTACAGAAACCTACATGGCAACGATACGGCATTACACTGTAGTAGTGACGTGGATCAACGGTTGATCGGACAACCAAATGCTAGTAACTGCCTCACTTATGTCTAGATGCAATGGGGTGAGATCATGACCGTCAGTCGTGCAATCATAGATTTGATGGATCAGATTGAGCCCAAAAAACTGAATGTAATACACTCATACCCGATTGGGTGCACCGCACCCATTCATGGGAGCGCACCTATCCTTACGCATTTCCATCCGGACAATAATGTCTAGAGATTTTCATGTCACAACTCCCACATCATATGGCTATAAGTATATTAAAACAAAGAGACAGAGACTTGAAGAGAAAAAATTGTAGCCAGCAACTAACAACAAATGTATAGGAAAGGGTGGAAAATTATAAACCTGACCTTATGCTGTGCACAAGTAGTATTAGTTTGGCAACAACTTTTTCTAGTTTTAAATTTTTTTTATAGTTTTTTTTTTTTTATATAAATCTAATGAATAGATTTATAAAAAGGGCTAAAAAAAAAGCCCCACAAAATGTGCTCCCTTTTTTTGTCATGGACCTTTTTTCTTTTTTTCTTTTTAAAATTTAAGGACACCTAATCTACCAAAACACCTAGAAACTAAAAAACAATTTAAGAAAATGACTAAAGTTGGGAGGGGAAAAAAATCACTTAAGCCAAAAAAAAGGCAGGCCAAACTAGTATGACAAACCTTTGGTGTGAAAGATCCCACAATACCAAACTGAAAACAAAGCCAACCAAAAACCTTCTTTGTCTTCCCACCTTTCCACAAACTTGCAAGTTCTTTCAAAGAGCTGTACATGTATAACCCAAAAAACAAAAATTTAACAACAAATGGATTTTGTTTTGTAATTGAAACACCTTGTACAATTGTATTTACCTGTCAAACCCTCCCCTAAGAACAGCATGTGTGTATCCATAGTAGCGTATAGCTGCACATACCTGTATGTCCAAATCAAGGATCAGTGATGACTTCTAGTCTGGCCAACCTTTTTTTCTTTTTGCTCCTTTGATGCGAAAGCATTGCTTTCACCCTCCTGTACTTCTCAACCCTTTCAAAACATAGATTTAGTTTCTTTCTTGTCATAGCACTCACAACAAAGAGAAACTTTTGCGATGTCTGGAGTGATGGGAAGGTCGTGCCTGCTCAACTGATGATCTTGGAGTGCTTCCAACATCTGATGGTCTTGAAGTGCTTCCAACATCTGATGGTCTTGGAGTGGGCCCCGTGCTTTCAATGACATCCAGTTGAGCATCGGATGATCGTGGAATGCGCTTGCACCCCATCCTCTGAGCAACAAAGCGGGGAGAACTTAAGGAACTATGTGATTTGGTCACCCTTTTCATCTCTTGCTTTATTTTACTAAATTCTTCTTCAAGTTCTCCAACTCTAGACCTCATGTTTTCCATGTCCACCTTTAAAACCTGGTTTTCACGCACCACTGATACCCATCCATCTCTCTGTATGATCTGACCTGCCATGTCAGTAGGGATGTTCGTAGGACCTGTAGGAGCAGTATCTGCATCTAAGACATGAAGACAGCCTGCTAGAGCTGTTCTCAAGTGCAATTGCTCAAAGAACAGGACTTGAAGAATAACTCTAAGTGGCAACCTTTCGTTTTGAGAAGCATGTGCACAAGCATCAATAGATAATTTCTGGAAGTCAATGATATTGCAGAGTTGCTCCTTCTCTTTCTCCTGCAGCCAAGGGTGTCCCTGCACAATGCCAGTAATTCTGGTAAATCCAAAACAACACAATTTTCTTTGGCTAATTACGCTCTGTTTGTTTCGAAAAAAATATTTTCCACCAGAAAACTTTTCTCAGTACTTGAAACTAATGGGTGGGTGGTGGTCGTGGTGGTAGTTGTCGTGGTGGCAGTGGAAGTGATGGCCGTGGTCGTGGTGGCATTAGTAAGATTTTAGTCAGGGAGAAAAACGGTTTCCGCCCAAATAGGTTTGCTTCTGTCAACCATGAAAACATTTTCCGTAGACTTTTGTTTTCCATTATACCAAATGCTAGAAAACCAATCAAAGCGTTAATCCAGAAAAGATTCACCAAAGTTTGGTCAATAAACACCAAAAAATGTGCATTCATGAATTGCTAGGTGTAACAAGGTCGACAACTCAAGAAAACCAACAAAAGGCCACCAGCATGACACACTAAACAACAAATGTGAAGACCAAAAGACATCAAAGAAGTAAAACAAAAAAAAAAACAAAAAAAGGCTGCCTAGGTTGTGATATCAAAAGACAATCAACATTACAGCACCAAACCAAGATTTCATTAGAGACTATCTATGATCCAATGATAGTCTTGAGTTGAGTAAGCCAAGTGAACCGAATTGGGTCAGCTTTTGGGGCAAGTCTACTTCTCAGAATATGTCTTCCATTTTCAGTTAAGCAAAATGATCAAAAAAGAAATAAGATTATGTGGGCAGCATTTAGACCAATTCATCCACTAGAATGAGTAATAAAATGAAAAAGGTCATGAATGAAAAAAATAAATAAATAAATAAAACCATCTAAACACTACGTAGTCGATGCTTGGTTGGAAGCAAGTAAATCGATTCAAACCTTGAAATATATATCAAGTGCTCTGTATAGCCCATCATGCAAAGATCTTGAAGATTCTGGAAGGGCCTCTGCAAGTGCACGTATCTTTCCAGGTTTCAAGTTCACATCAGAAGCAACCTCAGCCATATAACTATCTATCAACCTTGCTACTTTCTTTAAAGGTCCAAATGATGGTGAAGTTTCTAGGTCAAATGATGCTGGCGAAAATGAAGTTACACTTGGTTCTACAGATGTAAAATGACGAATAATCCGCTCCACACTGTCAGTATTATACAAAGTATCAGAATCTGAATAACTAGGTATCAGCAGACTATCAAGGGTTGCAAGTTCAAGTTGCATCCCTATTCTCTTCTCCAAAGAATCTTGGCACGTGTCGTTAACACCTAATATCAAAGCGACACGAAGAAGTCCCAATAGAAAACGGCAAAAAGATTTCCCCTTCTTTTCGGGGAGCAACTTTGCAATACTTTCCAAAAGGACCCTCTGATCTACAGCAGCCGGTGTCATGCTGAAACTTGTAACTGTTCTAGTTTTGGTACTTTGTCCACCCTGCCATCGGCTCAAGCCTGGAAGGTACTTTTTAGCGTAATACATTATAGCACCAGCCAAGTTTTCAGGTCTTATGCCTCTTGCTACCATAGTCTGAATAAGTTTCTGAAACAAATGCACACTGAGATATGAGATGTCTTCAAACCACCAGTCAGATTCAGAGCTTCGGATTCTGGCACCAGTGTTTATTCCGTTCCACAGGATACTTCCTCCAGGACTCTGTAAACTACCATACATCATCATAGGCCATCCAAACAAACTAGGATCCGTACAAACCATCATAGATACAGCGCTCAAGCACTTGCTAATGATTTGGAGCTCCTCGGCTTTTGTTATCACAGGTTCAGAACTTTGAAGAGCCAAAATACAATCTTTCCAGTTCCGCAGAACATTCTTATGGAAGAAACTCTCCGACCTGGAATGCAAGTTATCTTCTCCATACTCATCAGTCATTTCAAGATAGTCCGCTGCACAATACACCATTATGATGTTTCTTGCTGTAAATTCTATTCGGACACCATAGCAGAATTTAGCAGCAAGCAAGAAAGTGTCGGGGCCACCAGGGAATCCTTCAAGAGTCATTGTGAAAGTCCCCTCATGGGCACTTTGAGATTCTTCAATTATTTTTGCTATCTTTCCACATTTTGACATTAGAGGAAACTGGAGAGACATGCATTGATTACATATTATTAGAGTTTGATGAGAAATAATGTATGGGTTTTACCATATCTTAAAATGTAAACAAGAATTGTATTACGTAAAGCATAGATTCCAGCATTGAAAGAAATATCAACTAAAAGTCTGCAGAAGTATCGCACTAAGCACTACAAATAATTCTTTTCCATTGATAGATACAGTAACAACTCAAAAATTAATTTTCTTTGTCAAATACAGTAACTACTGACAGAACATACAAAGCTAAGAATCAAAAACAATAATGGAATGGAATAAAGATGACAGAGCTATAAACATTCTTAACCAGAGAAATTTTTAGGAGGTCAAATCAAAAGGATAAATTTTCTGGACATAATAAATAAGTAAATAAATAATAGGAGGGGCAGAGAGGTTGTAAATTTCAAATACAAAGTCCGACTAAACAAGTAACATGATTATATACTAAAAAGGCACCAATTGCAAAAGTGAAAGTTGAGCACACCAAGTTATCGAACCAAGCCTTGCAGCACCATGGGTCAGATTTGTAAGAAATAAACCATAATCTCAACATTCCAAAATTTCACTTTTTGGAGTTGATCCTGGTGGAACAAAATCCGTTCATTTGATCACAGTTTTCCATCAAGGTCAACCATTCTCCAAGGAGGACCCAATGAACATTAGGTTCCACTAGTTTGCATCCACTGTGCATTACTAGCACACCTTATGCATGGTGGCATGGCATCCTTGTGATCTGCCATGTGGAACCAAAATTCATGGAGACATTGCATCTACCACTTCACTTTGTAAGTCTCCACTTTTCATAAACTTAGAACTTCCAGCTCCATATAATTAGAAAGTAACTGTTGGCATCTCCACTGCTGTAAAGTCTAAATAGTTCAAAGTTTCAGCCAGCAACAATCTAGATGGATGGATGATACAAAGTGCCCCAATCCTTAATGGATTTCAGCTAATGCAAGTTGAATTGCTAATGATTTAGCATTATTTGGCAAGACACTGTCACATGTACTGGCAATAAGGACCTGGCAAGCATTCTACAGACCATGAACACTTTTTTTTTGGTTTAGCAATTAGGGGTGTGCAGGCCAGTTTACGTGCACCTCTACTAATCCCCTCTCCGGTCCAGTCAAAGGCAAGTCATCCACGCCAAGACTAGGGAATTCACAAGAAATTACTTTCTTGAGGCTTGGCCCCAAGAATTGAACCCTAAACAATCGTGGAGGGAGGACACCAACCAATCACTTGGGACAACCCTCAGGGTTACAGACCATGGACATTGAGATCAACACTAATTCTTAGAATCCCTGCCTTTGATTTGTCTCCCTTTGAGAAAATGGGGTAATGATTAGAGGATTGACAGGTCAAGAACATGTAAAATAAGGACCTTGTTAAGAGGACTGATGGATAGCAACACAAGAAAGAACATGACCTTAAATGAACACTTTCATTCTGAATTCAGACTTGGCAACCGAAATTTTTAGCCAAAAAGTCAAAAAAATTACTAAATTAGCCAAAAAGCCAACAACCCATACCAAAAAGTCAAAGATTCTCTTTTCTCTCTACTTTTTGCACATCTTTTTGTAAAAAGCCAAAAAATCATTTCAAACATACTAGTTTTTTTTAGCTCATATTTTGATCAAATAGCCAAAAAGTTACTAAATTAGCCTGTTCCCAAACGAGGCCTTATAAAATGAGAAGACAATGTGACACAAAATCACCACTAGCACTATCACAATAAGGAGGATTTATTAAATAGAATGTGGGTTTAAGTAGGCTGCATAAAATTATGGTATACAATTTAATAAGAGTGCATAAGCAACCATACTTATGTAGTTTGCATAGAGGGATTTGTTGAGTTTCTTGTGGCATTATCATAATATTTTTCACAAAATAGTACTTCTTGAAGATTTGGAGTGATTTACACCAAATACTGCACCCTTCTATTTGTTTGTTAGAATTTTCTTGGGTTTGGGGGCGGGGGTGAAACTACAACTAAGTTAATTGAGCTGCTAATGCTTTTTTTGTTTGAATCTTTTCAATAAGTGCTATGGAAAAATAATCTCCTGCCCCTTCCCAAACTGCAATCCCTTGCACAGCCCCGAGATTCAATAAATTCATGACAAGTGATAAGCTTCGGAAAGAAGATAGATATCAACAGTAAAACCAAATGGTGCTACAGAGTTACAAAGAGTTTAGATTTTAAGAGAATAGTTTGAATATATAGCTGAGAAACAAAGAATCAAGTTAATCCCATAAATCCAAATAAAATTTTGTTATAAGAATATTAATACCTCTAGCCTTTAGAATATCTCCTGATTACATTTTAACATTTAAATTGGGTTTCATTTTAAACAACATTAGAGTATGCTAATTAAGTTAAAAAAACATGACAATTATCATAGCATTAAAATTTCCTAGACTCCTTCGTAGGAATAGAAAATCCACGACACTGAAGAAAGGAAAATCCGTAAAAGTTCACCCCCAAAAATTAAGAAAGATCCACTATTTTTTTTTTTTTTTTTGAATAGACAGGCCTGGAAATCAGCTATTTCCCTCATATTCCATCTTTAGAAGAGAATAGACAGGCAGTACCTTGTGTAGATGGAAGTTTGCTCCGTCTACAGCTATAGTGATATCGCTCGGCAAACCTGCATTGCAGAACCTGTCATACCCAAAAGAGATCCACATCACACAATAATTTGATTTGAACTAAACAATTTTTTCACTAAATGGATTACCCAAAAAAAATCCTTTGGAACAAGGTTCCTCTCCATGTCAAGCAGCTTCCAGTTCCATCTGTAGCCAAAATTTCAAGTGGGTCCAATTTAAGAGAGTGGTTCCCACATTGAAACCTGTGGTGGGTGGGTGATTTCACTGGAAGCTTTGCCAATTGGAGAGGATTCTTTTCCTATCTTCCTCCTGCAAGAGCATCTGGAATCCTTCATCAATTTTTCCATCAAATTCAAATTTGATGGGAAAATGGTTAAGAGTGTGCTCCAACCACTTAATTAAATTAAGGCTGAGGCAATTTTTTCACCAACCAAATCCTTCACTAAATTCCCAACATTCATATTTTTAATCAAATTTCATGAAATTTGAAAAAAGTAAGGATTGCAGATGGTTTTCTTTCATCAAAAATTGTTAAAACAATATTTTAGGATAAGTTTGAAGTTTTTCAAAAATATTTGATGGAAAAAAAAGAGAAAAAAGTAAGGATTGGAGATGCTCTAAGCCCTACATTAATTAAGGAAGCACCCATCCAATATGTACTCTCAATTATGAAACTCAATCAACATACATGTTGAACTAGAAGTCATATACACATTTATTGTAAATAAACTCCAAACATTAATTATGAATAGAAACAAAACCCAAATACGATTAAAAACTGAACCAAGGAAAACAATTTAGCAATGGGATTACTAGAGAGAGAGTATACCAGTCGTTTCCCTCACGGTAGAACACAATCACCTTCCCAGAAGGAGCCATGAGTGACCCAGTAACAGACACACCCTTCTCTCTGTTCAACAGACCCCAATTCAATCAAAATCATCAAACACCCAAATTCTAAGAAATCAAAAACTAGGCCACCAACCAAACAATCCTTTGAAACCCAGTCCACTTTAGTCAATCCCAGGTCATATAGAGAGAGCAATGGAGGATCTTTACAGGTAGATATAAAAAGTTGAATTTGATGGCATCATGGGCAATAATATTATTGAAAAGGAAACGCATAGATCACAGCAACCCCATGAGAGGATTTATTAATATGAAGAGAGGAAGTGCCAATCTGTCAGATTCGAATTTGGGAAGTTTTTTTTTTTTTGGACATAGTACTTAACAACACAAACAACAAGCACTACAAGAAGAGCCTATTCAAACAAATATACAATTATATAAATATAAATACGTGTCTGTGTGTAGAGTGTGATTGAAGCTTTAGGCCGGCCGTGGAATGGAAGAAGGAGAGAACAGGAAGACATGGGTAATGATGATGATGATATTGCTTTTTCTAGACAAAAGAAAGAAAGAAGAGAGAGAGAGAGAGAGAGAGTGGGTGAGTGAGTGGGGCTTTTTGTCGAACGGTTTGGGTGCAATCATCGAGAGAGCGTGGAACCGATGAAAGCAGCGTTGTTGCCTTGTTGTTGTTTGTTGGGTACTCTGATGAATATGGAAGAGTATTTATTTGTTTAGTTTCACTTTCAGTTTCAGTTTTTAAAATTTATTTTTGAAAAAATTTTGGTCTTCTTTGGTTTAATTTTCAAAACATAATTTTTGAAAAAAAATTCTAAAATATTGTTTGGTTGAAAAATTTTTGAATTTTTTTTTCAAAATCATTTTATTTCTCTTACACATCAATCAATCATTTTTTCTCTCTCCTCTCTCCTTCTCAATCACTTTTTTCTCTCACACACATTCAGGAGTTGTTTGGGAAGTGGGTTTGTGACTAAAATAGCTAAAAAAAAACAAAAAAGGTTTTTAATCCCAATAAGACAAAACATCACATCTAACTCATAATCATTATATTTTTTCTCTCACAAAAAAACTAAAAAAGCCAAAAGCCCTTTCCAAATTAAGTTTTTTAGCCCCAGGCTAAAATAGCGAAAAAGGCAAAAAGTCAACCCACTTCCCAAACCAAGCCTTACTCAACTACAACAAAATATCAAATCATCTCATACTCTCATACTCCAAAATTATTTTCAAAATATATAACCAAACAAACCAAAAAAATTTCTAAACTCTCTCCTCAAAAAAAAATTAAAAAAATTTATCTCCCAAAACTAAAGCAAACACACCCTACTTTTTCATTTTTATGTATTTTTTGTTTTCATTAAATTTTTTTAATATTTCAAGTAATTTTTTTTAATTTTTAAACACACCTAACATAAATACACTTAAAAAGTATAATATTTGTGAAAAAAATCTTTAAAAAATTTACTAAATACCAAAAATACAAAAAAAAATATTAAAATTCAATACATTTTCATATTTTTGTGTATTTATTAATTTTTAAAAATATTTTTTCACAAATATCTTACTATTTAGATTCATCTAAGTAAGGTGTATATAAAAAAGTAAAAAAATTACTTAAAATTTAAAAAATATTCACTAAAATTTAAAAAAAAAAAACAAGCAAAAAAAAAATTTAATTTTCAGAAAACTGAATTTAGTAAACTAAAACCAAACATAAGATTTGTGTGTGTGTGTGTGTGTGTGTGTGTGTGTGTGTGAGAGAGAGAGAGAGAGAGAGAGAGAGAGAGAGAGAGAGATGAATGTGTAATATTTGAGGAATTATTTTGTCTCAATTAAGCAGTGTACCTATGTCATAATTTCTCCTAATATTGGATAACCCAATTTTGGTCCCCACACTTGAGTTGTAAACTAATTAATAATTTTAGGAATTAATTATAAAAAAAAATCATAAATTTATTGACCCCACTGGGGTGACATTTGGAATAGATTGTTTGGTTTTAATTTTTAAACTCAAATTTTTTAAAAATTGAGTTTTATATATTTCGTATTTTTTATTTTTAATAATTTTTTAATATTTTAAATAATTTTTTTTATTTTTTGGATGTACTTAACCTAAATGTAATTAAAAAGTAAAAAATACGTAAAAAAAAATATTCAAAAAATTAATAAATACACAAAAATATAAAAATATATTGGATTTTTATATTTTTTGTATTTAGTGAGTTTTTTAAATATTTTTTTCACAAATATTATACTTTTTAAGTATATTTATGTTAAGTGTATCTAAAAATTAAAAAATTTTATTTTAAATATTAAAAAAATTTAGTAAAAACAAAAGCATCCGAGAAACAAAAAACTATGAAACCAAGCAAGGTAAAGGTTTCTAAATCATTTATTTTGTTTGATTATACATTTAGATCATTTATGAAAGAAATTTAGATTAATTTGATAATTATAACTTATAATTTTATCAAATTTCTCTACAAGTAAATAGATTGATTATTTTTAAAATTATTTTTGCCGTCTATTTTTTACAAACAAGTACAGTATCAAAACATGTAATTAAAATCATTAGATTAATTTTAATTTTTTTTCTTTTTATAAATAATTTTCCTGCATAGTTGAAGGATTTAATCTGTTAAAATAACGTCCACAGCCTAGCAAGGCCCAACAACACTTTCAGATATTGTTCGGGAAAGGCTAAAGTGACTATTTTAGCCATAAAAGACAAAATAAATTATTTTAGTCATAAAAAACAAAACATCACATCCAACCCATAATCATTACATTTTCTCTCACAAAAAAAGTCAAAAAAACTAAAAAATATTTCTCAAACTAAGCTTTTTAGCCCAGGTTAAAATAGTTAAAAAAATCAAAAAACCAACCCACTTCCCAAACGGAGGCTCAATCAACGGAAGCATTCCTATTGTTTATCTACGGTCTTATTTGAGTAAGTTAATGAAATTTCATTTTATATTTTTAATCTTAAAAATGTATATTTAAAATTTTTTTAATAATGAAAAAATCACACAAATATTTTTTGATCATTTAGTAATTTAATTATTTTAATAATTTTTTGGCTTAAAAAAAAGGGAAAAAAAAAAAAAGAAGAAGAAGATTGATTGATATGTATTACATTACATTTTGATTTTTTTAATTTTTTAGTTTTTTGTCACTTTTTTATTTTTTATTTTTAACCAAAAAGTTAACTGTCAAGCAAGACCAGCTGAAAGTCATACAAGTTCATAATTGAGAATTTAAAATGTATGATTTTAAAATTGAAATAAGTTTAATGATGTTTGCATAATCTTAATTTTATAAATAAAATCTATCACAAAATCCACTATAAAAAAAGAGTAAGTTTATGTGCATAGAAATTGAGTACAGAATGAAATACAATCCTCTCCTTATAAGGGGTGGGGCTCACATGTGTGAGACCCACCACTTGTAAAAGGGTTGTGTCTCATTATGTGTTTGATTTATGTGCTCCTAGCACTATTGTAAAAACAGTTTTGATATGTAGCTTGAAATTTCCGAGTTTGAATTTGTCCCGAATCCAAAACGACGTCGTTTTGGAATTATTATTATTATTATTATTATTATTATTATTATTATTATTTCTTTCTTTCTTTCTCGTTGTTTTGAAGAAGAAGAAGAAGAAGAAGAAGAAGAAGAAAAAGAAAAGAGAAGACGGAGCAGTTGCAGCTAAACACGTCATCATCATCATCAACATCAACATCTTCATCATAATCATCATCATCAACACATCATCAATAGCCAACAAATTTTTTTTTCCCCCTAAAATGCAAAAAGAAAAGAAAAAAAAAAATAAAAAAAAAAAAATCAACATCTTCATCAACACATCATCATCAGCCAATAAATTTATTTTATTTTATTTTTCCCTTCATTTTCAGATCCAGATCCACTAAGAAAAAAAAAAAAAAAAAAGTAGAGTGGCGATCGGCAATACCCACCAGCGATCACCGCTATCACCGTCTCCATCTTTTCCCTTTCTTCTCTCTTCCTGTTCTTTTCTCCTCTCTCTCTCTCTCTCTCTCTCTCCCTCGCCTCTTCTCTTCCTCTGTATTCAAAAGCAAGAAAAAAAAAAAAAAAAAAAAAACCCAAAACGACGTCGTTTTGAGTTTCGAGCTAGTTAGTTTCGGGCTACCAAGTATTATTCTTGTAAAAAAATGTAATAAATTTTGTATCATGAACTTATTCATAAACTATAACAGTTCAGAGCATTCAAGACATGTATTTATTACTATGAATACTGCTATATGTACTAATTAATGTACTAACTAATATATTAATAGATGATGTGACATAATTTTAGAAGTTTTTAGTAATTATAATTTGTATAATAGGTGGAGTCCATAATAATGACATAACACTAGTTAGTATACCATACATTAATTGGTACATGTAGCACTACTGGATTATTATTAGCTTTGCAATTTTAATGTGGGAAGTTAACAGAATTTTATACAAATTATGCCTCCGTTTGGGAAGTGGGTTGGCTTTTTAGCTTTTTGACTTTTTTGACTATGTGAGCCTGGGCTCAAAAGCTTAGTTTGGGAAGGACTTTTGGCTTTTTGGCTTTTTAAATTTTTTTTGTGAGAGAAGAGTGTAATGATTATGGGGTTGGATGAAATATTTTGTCTGTTGTGGCTCATGAGCCTATTCTATTTTTTATGGCTCATTGAGCCAAAAAAACCCAATGAGCCTTTGCCAAACCAACCCTATGTAACTTCTTGTTTTGGGAATATAATTAAAAGTAGTGTTTTGGCTGATTTGAATCACATTTTCTTTTCTTTTTTTTTTACACGTTTGTTATAAGAAAAGTTTAAAATAAAATTTTAAAAATGAACTTTTAACTTATTTTTCAAAATCAGCCAGTGACGGCAACGATTTAAGGAAGTGGGTGGGAAAAAAAAATTATTAGGCAAATTAATAACAGAAGTGGGTGAGAAAAAAAAAATTTATTAGGCAAATTAATAACGGCTTGGGGGTTACATGGTTAATGAGTGGGGACAACAGAGGGGGTCACCACGCATTCAAAAAAAAAAAAGAAAAGGGTTTACCAAAGGATATATGCTTCGTTTGGCATTGATTTTTTTAGCTAAAAAAGTATATAAAAATAAATAAATAAATAAAATAAGTTAATAAGACAAAACGTAAATCATTTTATTTTTTTTCTCACAAAATTCAAAAAAATTAAAAAAAGTCAAACCAAACAAACTTTAGTCTCAAGTTAAAATAGCCAAAAACCAACTAAAAAACCAATTGCCAAATGGCAACTAAGGGTGTGTCTCGGATTGGATTTTTTAGTTTTTTTTTTAAAAAAAATTTAACAAATTTTTTAAAATTAAATTACAAAAAAAAAAGGATTTTTTTAATAATTTTTTACTTTTTAGATTATTCTGCATTAGATGGAATTGAAAAGTAAAAATTTTTAACACAAATTTAAAATAAAATAAAAAAGAAATAAATTCATGAAAAGTCCATTTTCATAAATGTGTATAGTCTAATGATTGTTTTGTTTTGGTTATAAGAATATGATTAATGAAATTGTTCGGTGAAAAGAATAAATTAATGTGTTGAAAAATAATTTTTTTCATTTTTACCCTACGAGCACTAGACCACTAATCATCGGAAAA